ACTCTACAAGTAGCCTACGGGACAAAGGTGAAGCTAATCATAGCTATTAGCTAGGTAGTCACAAAAACTCACAACTCTGGGTTTAAAGCCAGAAATCAAAGCTATTCGGGTAAATATACTGTCACAGAGGACTATAATTCACATTCACTCTCTGGTAGATCACTAGCCACCTGCGGCTTCTGCGCAGGAATGCATAGGACAAGCAGCTGCCCCATCAAGGAAGGTGCCTCTCAGGACGGGCGAGAGCAGGACTCCCCATTTGAGTGGCAGTGTGCCAGATGCAGGAAGAAGGGTGTGACGGCCTGGCATCCAGGTTGCCTTGGGAGCCCGCCTCCACCCACAACAGCGGTCACACTCGGTGACGCCAACGCCAACGCTACAGGGCCGCCGCCAACGCCTGAAATCAACAGCTACACCTCCCCACCCAGGAGGCAGTGTTACAGGTGCGTGGAGGAGGGTGTGACGGCCTGGCATCCAGGTTGCCCTGGGAGCCCGCCTCCACCCACAAAAGCGGTCCCACTCAGTGATGCCAACAGCAACACTGCGGGGTCGCCTCCAGCACCTGAAATCAACAGCAACACCTCCCCACCCAGGGGGCAGTGTCCCAGGTCCAGGGAGGAGGGTGTGACGGCCTTGCACCCCAGTTGTCCTGGGAGGTCGCCTCCAGCCACAATAGCAGTCCCACTCAGTGATGCCAATGCGGCCGGATCGCCTCCACCACCTGAAGTCAACAGGCACAGTGACTCTCCTTCGTTAGCCAATGCAGGTCAGGTTAAAGCCTGCCAAGTAAGTGTACCAGTGAACAATGACAGTGATAGTGTTAGTGGAGCTTCTGAAGGAGCTCATGCCTCCTCTCATAATGATGCCAACTTGAGGGTGAGTAGCCAGAGCGAGACCGATAGTGATGGAAGCATGGATGGGGAGAATGAGCCCCAGACTGCCAGCGTGGTCTCTATAATAGTCCCAGGTCTGAAGACTGTTCATGACCCTGTAAGTTTTCCATTGTTTACGGAGAAGGAACTCGCGGGACTGATGAAGGAACCCGCGTATAAAAATCCTACTGGAATAAGGGCTGTGAAGAACATTATCAGGAAATCCAGAGGTACAGAAATTGGAATGGTCAGCTTATTGGTCAGGCTGATCTATGAAGCCAGCGTGCGACTCTCTACGTTAAATTCAAGGTGGGAAAAGTAACACGAACGCTTAGGTTCATTTCATGGAACATCCGGAGTGTTAATCGCAGAATTAATGATCTACAATGGTTTGTTAAAGTTTTTGACATTGATGTAATTGACTTACAAGAATATTACACGTCCAGCACCCAGAAGAAAGTTGCACCCAGGATAGCTGGGTTTACAGCATATAATAGTGGAGCAGGAAGTGGCCTGCTCACATATGTAAAGAATGGTCTGGTCTGTAAATGGATTAAAACTCACAATGATGAAAGTATTCACTATTAACAATTTATAGTAAAGACAGCAAACAGTCAATTTTCGCTGTATAACATCTATGTTTGGTGTAATGAACTGCGAGAGGACGTGTTACCAAAGCCATCAGGTAACAATGCTATGCTGTGTATGGGTGACTTTAACTCTCGTCACACTGTCCTCGGTGATGTCCAGTGTAACTCTAATGGGAGGGTGTTCGTGAATTACATCAATTAATCATAATATCACTATATACGACACAGACAAAGTGACACATCTGATGGGGGGCAGACTTGATTATGTGATTGGGTATAACCTAGTAGACAGTAATGTCAAGGCTAAGGTCATCTCAGACCACCTAGTCAGTGATCATTATGCAATACTTACTGAATACACTGTTGCTGATGTCAAGTGTGAACCCCATCCTAAGCTCAGAATTAATATCCCAGATAATCTTAAACTGCACTTCAAGGCCTACATCCACAGATGGTACGCTGGATATACACCTGGGTCAGTGGATGAATTTTGCTGTGATCTTGTAAATGTCATTACCACATACTATACCACCTGGGTTAAGTCAAGGAGGAAGGGGGGCAGCACTAAACCACCTCTGTGGACACATGACCCCATCCTCACCAAAGAAGGAGAGAATGTAAAACAGCTTGCCAACACTTATAAGCAAAATAAAACTAGTGATAAACTTTTGGCATTCCTCAAAGCTAACAGAGAATTTCGTGAACTCAAAGGTCAGGTGAGAAACACCTATTGGGAACAATTCTTACAGGGGATTAATAGAACAACCACTCTAGCAGAAATGTGGAAAAAAATTAGAGCCATTACCAAGTCACCCACCCCAGTCCAGCTTCATCACAGCCCTGCAGAATATGCTGACATGCTATTAGACCAATGGTCTAGTGTGTCACGAATCACTTCCCTGCCTCCTGACATACAACAATATCTTAACACCTCACACATTAACAGGGGTTTCAATATTGAAATAGCCTGTTCCTCACCAGACCTTACCGACCAGTTTCCTATAACGCACCACGAACTAACAACAGCACTAATGAAAGGTGAGTCATCCTCCCCTGGTGAGGATGGCATAACCTATAACACCCTGAGATTGTTGAATGAGATCCCTAACCATCCACTGCTTGACCTGTATCAAATGAGCCTCACACAGGGTATTCTGCCTAAGACATGGACTCATGGAAACATAGTTCCAATCCCTAAAGCTAATTCTCCAAACTTCAGGCCAATTTCACTTACATCCTGTATGTGTAAAGTCCTTGAAAGAGTTATTCTAAACCGTCTCATGTTTCAAGTCAAAGACAAACTCGCCCCTAATCTGTACGGGTTCATGCCCGGGCGTAGCACACAGACATGCTTTGCAGAATATCTTGTTCACTCAAAAGATAAGACACAAACAGCCTTCATAGACCTTAAATCAGCCTTTGATGTAGCTAATAGAGACATTATACTTGAGCAACTAGCTAATTTTGGCATACAAGGTAACCTCCAGACATGGATAAAGGGTTATCTGTCCAACAGGTATGCCAGTGTTCTGTTTAGGGGAGTTAAAAGTACCAGAATGAGATCATTTGAGCTGGGCATGCCTCAGGGAGGAGTGTTAAGTCCTATGCTCTTTAATATACTGATGCACAAGCTTATTGCTGACATTCCAGTTCAGCCAAACGAAGCCGTAATATGCTATGCTGATGATATCTGCATTATGACACAAACCAAACTCAGGCTCCAAGCCTTGCTGGATGTATTTGCTCGGAGAACTGTTGAATGCGGTCTCATAATATCTGTTGACAAGACGAGGGTCCTCAATCCTCGTCCTGCTCACCCTCTGCCTCTTGACTATAACATTAACAGCATGCCCTTGGAACTATGTAGCTCCTATAAATATCTTGGAATTTGTGTGAATGATGCAAACTTTGTCAGCAACCTTCGTGACAAACTAATGCAGCGCATTAAACCCCTCAGAACCCTTGTTGGCAAGGGCTATGGAATTAACATCACCTATGCTCGTACTTTCTATCTTCACTTCATTCGTTCTGTAGTTGACTATCATGCTCTCCATCTTGTGACTATTCCGCCTAAACAACTCAACAGCCTTGAGGTAGTGCAAAATGAAGCCATGCGCATCATCCTAGGTTGCCCAAAATCAACCAGAATTGTAAGCATGAGGAAAGAGCTCGGACTGCCCTCCCTATCTGAGAGGATAGCCCTACTTAATACCATGTTTTGTGTCAAAGTTTTGAAGAACAATGGTTCTCAAACTACAACTAAAACTGAGTTGATGTTCTATCTAAATAATCCCGACCATCTCGCCAACCTTCCACAAAAGACTCTCTTTGGGGCGTGGCTTCATAAAAGTGTAGCAGATCTCCTGAAACTGAATGTCCCAATCACCCCAGACGAACCTATTAATGCCATTCCTCCTTGGCTGGACATATCAGTTCCTATTAATTACACTCCTGTTGTAGTAAGCAAATGTTAAACACCGATGTGGTGAGATGTGTCACACTAGAAACTATTAACAGACACATAGAGAGTATTAAATCAAGTGAATGTTATGCTTTTACTGATGGTTCTGTGCAGACAAACACAGGTAGAACAGACTGTGCAATTGAAATATATAAAGAAAACGAGATGATAGTGTCAAACAAACAAGGGCTGAACAACTGGGCCAGCACAACACAAACTGAACTAACTGGAATCTACTTAGCCACAGACTACCTCAAAGAAAATGGAGGTGGGGTGATATTCTGTGACTCTCAAAGTGCTTTGAAATCAATGAACAGCCCGTCAGGCTCTATGTCTAAAGTTGCATGTGATATTAAAAGGAATGTGATAACTGCCAATGAGAACAACTTTCGTATCGAATTTGTGTGGATTCCGTCCCATGTTGGAATCAGGTATCATGACCGTGCTGATAGACTGGCCAATGAGGCATGTAAGAAAGAAAATGTTGACCGTGACCTTGGTCTGTCCAATGCTGTAATTAAAAACATTCAAGTCAGAATCATGAACTCTGATCTAGAAGAAGTGAGAAATGCAGAGAGACCTGACAGTTGTAGCATTAGTAAATATGACAAATTTTGTAACAAGAGGTACCGGTATGGCCAGCATAAGGACAGAACCAGACAATGTGATGTAGTCGTGGCCAGAATTAGGCTAGGATACAGACACATCTGGCAAGTTAGTAATGCTGTACCCATACCAGAACACTCAGCATGTAAACTTTGTGATAAACCTTTAAAGCATACACTTGAACACTATATTATTGAATGTGACACTGTCAAAGACTTCAGGCCACCTGATTTATTGTATCTTGAACTATGTAATTACTTCATTGAATCAGGTGTGCTTGAGGACATTCTTGCTGTTTATCCCAAATTTGCTAGCCCACACAGATTAGTCTTCAATTAGAATATGACTCCAATGTATGTGATCCACTGACCTATATATGCTGCTGGTGAATGTGATGTATTTCCTTCTTTGTGTACGAACCTCTGTCCTGTCCTGTTTATTTTATTATGTACAGTATATTGAAAATAAAAGTTAAATCAATGTACGCTTTATTCGCATTACCTCTGTATACTGCACTAAAAAATACTATTTAAACATAGAGGAAAAATGTATTGGTGAATTGATATTTGATTTTAATTCATCAAGTAAACCAATTACGGACTATATTGGCTCGGACTGCTTGGCCTGTCCCTGCTACAGCTTCAGCTGGATTGTCAATCTCTCCATCATCGTCGACCATGTCGTGGGGAAGTGGTACCCTTCTCATTACACAATAATTGTGAAGAAGGAAACATGCATTTACAATTTTGCCACATTTGGAAGGATCGTATTGAAGTGACATCTCTAATAATTCTACTGACACTAGCTTGGGTAAGACCAACTGTATCACCAAGTACATGTTGAAAGGTTCCACTGGCGTAAAATCTTAAGGCAACTAACACTTGCGTGTGTATGGAATCAGCATGAGATCCTCTTGTTCTACGCCTTAAAAATGGATCTAACTCTTCACACAGTCTTAGAATTTCACATCGAGGAAACCTATAATATCTAATTAGATTTTCATCGCTTACATTTATGGGATCCAAAGGGTCCCGATACCTTCGTTCACGTCGTAAAGCTCGATCATGCAGATAAGCTACAACAAGTTCCATTGCAGGGTAACTGGAAAATGAGGTCCAAGTGTTACAGGATCAATCTGCAGGACAAAAAATTCTGCAATGGTTTAGAAGTTTGTTACAGTATTGTTTTTATGTTGATACTAACTTATTCAAAGTTTTATCATTAGGCCTAGAATAGAAGGGTTATGCCTGTGAAAAATAAAAATTACGGCCTTAAGGTTTTGCCTGGCTCTTAGGGGTAAAATACTGAAAAATGCACAGCGTGTTAAAATCTCTGTATTCATTTAAAATTGAAAGAAATTATTCATTATTAAAGTAAATAAGGGTGTTAAAAGCATTTAAAAGACATCCTCTTGCCTCAAAGTCTGTCACATACTCGCATTTGAAACTGATTTCTGGTAGGAACAGCAGCCTTCTCCGTTAGCCGGAATCCTTGAAACCTGGAACTTTCTGAAAGCCGTAATTGACATTTTATCTAAAATTAATTCCCAAAGCATGATTTTGCAGGAAACTTACGGCTTAGGTAAATGACTTTCAGAGAGGCACATTTTCCTGAAAACTATGAGGAAAGTTTCCCAGATAACCGAGAAAATTCCAGAGATGGGGGATATATTTCTGGGTTCGAGAGATGATGTAATGAGCAATTGCAGGAACTACCGAGAAAATTTTTCCATTACCATAAACATTCTGGGGATGAGGGATATTTTCTTGATTTGTGATAACTGTCTCGTTAACGGGAAAACACTCATTCATTCACGGTAGTGCTCTTCACCAATTGCTCTGGCTAACAGAGATCTCACAGTATTTGGTGTTTTACCCCACTAGAATTTAGGTAAATAATCCCTTGCATAATGTTGGCCTGTGACAAGACACATAAGCTATACTAAGATAGCCTTATTCTGGGCAAATTCAAATAAATTGGTTATTGATAGCATAGCCTTGCCTAACCTAAATGACAAATCACTTCTCTTAAATTACTCATTTAGCCTAGACCCTGGTGTTTTCCTTTCAATGTTGGGAACATTTGGTCTGAATTGCCTTCAAGTTCATACAAAAAACAACAATTTAAAACCTGAAAATATATCGGATTAGCCGTAAATTTTCTTAAATTAATACTCTACCTATGATAATGTTCAAGGAAAGTCTGGAACTAGGCCTAAGGTAGCTGCTAGACAAAGTGTCTCACTGACAGCCTGACGCTCACCTAAAAACCATGTACACATTCTCTAACCTAACATACCATAACATAACATAACCAAACCTATATATCTATCTTACCTATACCCTATTAGTTTAATTTCTTATTTAAATAATCCTCACGTTCTAACTAAATTAAGTAGGCCCCATGTTTTAACATTTATTTGCCTAAGACTGAAAAAGCAGTTATATAGGCACCTATTAATCAAGTTAATTGCAATACATATTTTACACCTAATATCATTTAATTTTGGCTAGCCTATGGAAATTTATAGCCTTTCATGTTATCATAAGCCATATACATAAGAAAATATGCTAAGGCTATTGGTTGAATATTAGAAAAACATGGCGAAGTCTTGGCAGGAATGTTCACTTGACCTCATATTTGGCTTTCATTACTGAGGGATATTTACGGCTATACAACATTAATAAGTTCTATCTGCAAGTTTACTCAGTCATAAAACATATTTTTACCCTAAGTGTGAACAATACAAACCTTCTATTTTGGTAAGAAATACTTTATAATGTGTAAGAAGACAAAAGATGCGTCTCTTCCAAACTGAGACAAATACAAACACTCAAGCCGCTTATTATGGCAACAAAAAAGTTACCAAAAAGACAAAGTGAAATATTATATTTCAGTATGTTGATGTACAAAACATTTTCTTCTTTATTCTATGATAAAACAAGTCTAACAAGCATTATTACAACATATATTATTATTATTTTCTATACAATCGGGAATTAGTCACTACTACATCCGGGTTGAGAGTGTTACACAACCTCGGGAGCTGGTGTAAGTTACTTGCGTTAACTTACGGAGTTCGATGTCAAATATTGGTTTTGAGTATACCATCTGTGTTTTGAGTATACCATCTGTGTTTTGAGTATGCCATCTGTGTTTTGAGTATACCATCTGTGTTTTGAGTATACCATCTGTGTTTTGAGTATACCATCTGTGTTTTGAGTATGCCATCTGTGTTTTGAGTATGCCATCTGTGTTTTGAGTATACCATCTGTGTTTTGAGTATGCCATCTGTGTTTTGAGTATGCCAATCTGAGACTGTGAGTCCAGTTACGGGTACACAACGACATACAGTCCCATAAATTTTTTTGAGTATCCGGCCCCTAAGCTGTATATACTGTTCCTCATACGTTATCAAGTGTTTAAAGTAATGGGTTTATATGTTAGTCAGTGTTACATATATTACGTAAATACATAATCCTAGCCACTGTGTTTGTGTTCGGGTGTTGCAGTGATAATGTGTTGTGTGTTGCAGGGTGATTATGAGACAGTATTGTGTTTGAGCTTAGTTTTTAAATTTGTGTTTCTTTTGTGTGTTAGTTGAGCTTTTACACTTGACCTGACATGACTTATACCTGACTTGACCTGGCCTATACTCGACATGACCTAACATATACATGGCCTGACCTATACCTGACCTGACATAACCTATACCTGATGTGCCATGACCTATACCTGACGTGAACTGATCTATACCTGACTTGACCTGATCTATACATGACGTGACCTGACCTATACCTGACATGAATTGTACAATATGTTTATGTCCACCAGTGTTGCATAAAGTTCCTAGTGATGACCTGAACTGCTTGTTATGACACGGAGAGATTCATTGTATTAATGTAACAGTAGTTGGGAAATATATCTCACACTCACTTCTTGACAGTTCATTAGACTGTTAGTTAATGAACTGTCAACAACTGAATCATGATTATACAGTTACTGAAGATCTCTTGTCACTGTCATATTGCTACAAGGAGTATCAGAGTCTCTTCACGGGCGGTGGAAGATGACAGGAGAAGGAGGGAGAGAGTGGAAGGAGTGGAAGGAGGGAGGGAGGGAGGGAGTGGAAGGAGGGAGAGAGAGAGGGAGGGAGAGAGAGAGGAAGTGAGGGAGGGGGGAAAGAAGGGAGGGAAGAAAGCAAACCTATAGACAAGACTGTGATGGAGAACACGTCAAGATCACCAACAATAATCATAAGAACATAAGGAGTCTGCAATAGGCCGGTTGGTCTGTGCATGGCAGCTCCTGTCGAGAGTTACTACCACTCTCTATCATCCATGAATCTATCTAGCCTCCTTTCAAAACTTTCCAGAGTTCCCGCACTTACTACAAAGTTGCTAAGCTTGTTCCACTCGTCTACTACCCTATTTGTGAACCAGTTTCTTCCTATCTTCCTCCTAAACCTAAACTTATCCAACTTGAATCCATTGCTACGAGTCCTATCCTGCTCGGATATTATAAGAACTTTATCTATATCCCCTTTATTGATTCCTTTCACCCACTTAAATACTTCTATCATATCTCCCCGCACTCTTCGTCTTTCTAGGGAATGCAAGTTAAGTTTCTTTAACTTATCTTGATATGGAAGGTTTCTAAGTCCCAGAATCATTTTCGTCATTCTTCGCTGCACCGAGTCCAGTGAATTGATATCCATTCTATAATAAGGGCACCAGAACTGAACAGCATAATCGAGGTGCGGCCTGACTAGCGCAAGATATAATTGCAATATGACCTCTGCACTCCTATTACTTACACTTCTCAATATAAAACCCAATACTCTGTTTGCCTTATTCCGAACATGAACGCACTGTAGTGCATTTGCATCCTGCCCTGAATTAATCTGCCGCCCTATTTTGGTGTCATCCGCAAACTTGCTTATGTCACTGCTGATGCCAGTATCTAGATCATGTAGTGTTGGTGATTCTGGCCAACACCTGGTGAAGTATTTATCAATCTATAATGGTGAATCGTGTGTGTGTGTGTGTGTGTGTGTGTTGCTGTATCTTGGAGGTAAACATTGTACAGATATTACAGACAAAAATACAAAACATGGATACAGCCTCAGGAACTTACAGAACTATAGGAGTTACTTTAACATAATAATAAACTTCAAGGTATAATGAACTATAAAACTCAGAAGTCTCATAAAAATATATAATACTTGCAACACTATAACCAAATCATTATAAACAAAGAACATGACAGGACAATAAAATGACATGAATACAACAAATAAGATGACTGTCACTGTCACCTGATGAACATGACACGTGATGAACATGACACCTGATGAACATGACACTTGATGAACATGACACCTGATGAACATGACACGTGATGAACATGACACCTGATGAACATGACACCTGATGAACATGTCACCTGATGAATATGACACCTGATGAACATGTCACCTGATGAACATGTCACCTGATGAACATGTCATCTGATGAACATGTCGCCTGATGAACATGTCGCCTGATGAACATGACACGTGATGAACATGACACGTGATGAACATGACACCTGATGAACATGTCACCTGATGAATATGACACCTGATGAACATGACATCTGATGAACATGTCACCTGATGAACATGTCACCTGATGAACATGTCATCTGATGAACATGTCGCCTGATGAACATGTCGCCTGATGAACATGTCACCTGATGAATATGACACCTGATGAACATGACATCTGATGAGCATGTCACCTGATGAACATGACACCTGATGAACATGTCACCTGATGAACATGTCACCTGATGAACATGTCACCTGATGAGCATGTCACCTGATGAACATGTCACCTGATGACCTGATGAACATGTCACCTGATGAATATGACACCTGGTGAACATGACACCTGATGAACATGTCACCTGATGAATATGACACCTGATGAACATGGCATCTTATGAGCATGTCACCTGATGAACATGTCACCTGATGAACATGACACCTGATGAACATGTCACCTGATGAACATGACACCTGATGAACATGTCACCTGATGAACATGTCACCTGATGAACATGACACCTGATGAACAAGACACCTGATGAACATGTCACCTGATGAACATGACACCTGATGAACAAAACACCTGATGAACATGCCATCTGATGAACATGACACCTGATGAACATGTCACCTGATGAACATGACACCTTATGAACATGACACCTGATGAACAAGACACCTGATGACCATGACATCTGATGAGCATGTCACCTGATGAACATGTCACCTGATGAACATGACACCTGATGAACATGTCACCTGATGAACATGACACCTGATGAGCATGTCACGTGATGAGCATGTCACCTGCATCCCAACCTTCACTGCCTTCAACAATCATAACTAATTATCAAAGGTATATTTGATTTAAACACTATTGCTTCACCTCTATAATTCACGTATAATTACAAAAGCGATTATATCCAATATTATAACATCCGCCATCTTGTCTACTCTCCTCCACACCTATAATATCATTGATTATTCAGTAATTATAATTTATGCTTGGCAAAACTATTGTAGGGGTATCGATATATTAATGTTGTCTAGCACTCAGGATGGAAGGAAACTCTAATGTGGTTTTCTTGTATAATATATAAGTTATATGATAGACATTCTGGTGCTGGAGGTGCTGTGTGGTGAGGGGCTGCTTGGTAGAGACGTGCGGGAGTAGCTTGTT